GGGGCCGCCATCTTGAGCGGGGGGCGGTGCGGAGGGAGGTGCTGCTCGTCTGTGAGGGCGTGAGGCGGCGGGTGGTGCCTTCGTGGAGCCGCGGGGTGGGGACCGTGTAAGGGGCCGTGATGGAGTGTCTGGCCCAGCCTCTCTGCTCCTGCAGGGTCACCCTGGACCACATGGCACAGGATTTCATCCAGACGGTTCTTGAATATACTCGAGGGAGACAACACAGCCTCTGGACAATCTGTTCCAGTGCTTGGTCACATGCACGGTAACGTTCTTCCTCGTGTTCAAGGGGAACTTCCTGAGCATCTATTTCTGCCCGTTGCATCTTGACTTATTGCTTGGCACCACCAAGAGGAGTCTGGCTCCATTCTATTGATATCCTCTCTCCAAATTCTGAAATACATTGATGAGGTCCCTTCTCAGTCATCTCTTGTGGCTGAACAGCCCAACTCTCTCAGCTTTTCCTCATAGGAGGAGAGGTGCTTCAGTCCCTTGATCATCTTTGTAGCTGGACCCTTTCCAGGTACTCTATGCCTCTCTTGTACTGAGGAGCCCAGAACTGGACACAGCAGTCCAGGTGTGTCCTCACCTGAACCTCACCAGGGATGAGTAGAGGGGCAGGATCACTTCCTTCTATCTGCTGGCAATTCTGTTCTTCCTGCTGAGAGCACTTGCAAAGCTGGGACATCCTCACCACAGCCCCCCTCGCGGCCTTTCCAGGATGGGGACAGACCCCAGGAAAGGGAGAAGGCTGTGGGCTCTGCAGCCCCTCTCTGGGGACAGTGCTGGGTGTGGAGCTGCGTGGGCAGGATCCTGATGCTCTCAGATCTTGCATGCTCAGCGATGCCACTCACAGCTGTGTTTGCTGCTTCTCCCCAGCCCACGTGAGTGACTGTACTCACTGACTTTATAAGGTTTTGTGTAGTTTCCTTAGCACAAGTGAGGATTGTGGCACTTAGTACAAATAATAAGTGATGGGTCCATGACTCAACTGTTCCCAAAGAGCATGCCCTATTGAGATAAAAGCACAGAAAATGTACTTGTGTTACAGATGTGCTGTAGTGCTCTGGTTAATGTTCTCCAGAATTAGGTGAAATATGTTACCTTTTTGCAGATGCCTCCAGCAAAGATGATTGCAAGTGATGTACTTGGTAAAAATGGAGAAAAAATGTCCCCATTTCCCATCCTTCTTAAGCTGTGCTGCCCATTAGTTAACCTGAGATACTTAAAAAGCATGAATAAAATTACTCTTTTCAATTTTTCATAACACCATAAAGGCAGATACATCACTTAAACCAAGACTGTCTTTCCCAGTTCTTGTCTCTAAAGATGAGAAGATTACAAGAGATGAAACTTCAGGAGAAACTTCCAGTGGGTCTGCTTTGAACTTTCAAGAATTTGCATCTGGTGACTCCTGAAATCAGAGGTTGTGTCTTAGCAGCCCTTACCATATCTCCTCCATACATTTGTTCAGTTGATTTGATGCTCAGAAGTGCCACCTGAACATGAGGAAGAATTTTTTTACTATGGGAGTGACTGAACACTGGAAGAGATTGTCCAGGGAAGCTGTCGAGTCTCCCTCACTGGAGATATTCCAGAACCACTAGGATACAATCCTGTGCTATATGCTCTGGAATGGCCCTGCTTAAGCAGGGAAGTTGGACCAGATGCTCCACTGTGGTCCCTTCCAACATTATCCATGCTGTGATTTCTGTGATTTCTCTGATTTCTGTGACCTATTGCTTGTAAACTTGTAGCATCCATGTCATCTGGTGGCTGGAAGTTCCACAATGTCACTGTATGTATGAACAGCCACTTTCCTTGCTTTCAACTTGCCATTTTGTGATACCATGTGATGACCCAGCCCTGCTTATTTCTTGGGAAAGGACAGTACATCAATTTTGCCTTCTCTATGCCAGTTACTTCTTCAGAGCCTCGATGAAATCCCCTTCCAGTCTGGTAAGGCTTCTCTTTCAAGACTGATAAGTCCAAGTGAAATCTCCTTCTTTCCGAGGAAGTGTTTGTTGCTATTCTATGAACTTTACCATTTCTGTTATTCCTCTTTGTGATGGTGGGACTGGAACTGCTTATGTTGTTCATGACAGTGGCATATAGTAGATTTATAAAGTGGCATAACAATATTCTCTGCCTTGTTTTCAGTATTGCTTCTGAATATTTCTAATATTCAGTGTGCTGTTGATTTCCACTGAGCTGGCATTGTCCTACAAATAACATTAAACTTCCCAGCTCTCACATCTCCTGACATGTAGTGGTCAGTTCAGACAGCATTATTCCACACATGATGTAGGACTGTTTTTTTTCCCGTGTGCATGGCTGTACCTCTGTCTGTCTTCATGATCATCTGTCTTTCCTGCCGAGCACTGAGGACTCTATTCAGTTGCCCACTGGAGAGGGTGTCCAGTGCTATTCCAGATAGACACAGAGGGTCTGAGTGAGGCTTTAGAAGTGTTTGGGGGTCCCTGTTGAGTCCTGTGCTAGAGCAAATGTATCCCCCATATGCTGGAGCGTAAGCAGGGATGTATGAACCCTGAATAGAGGAAGGTCTTTCTGCAATTCTCAGCCGCACCCTGTCTCTTCTTTCATGAATAACACTGTATCTTCAGCAATCTTTGTCTTGTCACTCCTTACTGAGATTATTTATGAATAAGCACAGAGATGCAAAGGTGCAATAGTGACTTCTTTGCATTGTAAAAACTGACCATAGTCTTTTAACTTCATTTCAATCCATGCTGGGATCTTCTCTCCTATCCTGTGGTTGTTTAGTCTCCTTTAGAACCTTTAGCAGGAAAGTCTTGAAAGCCTTTCAGGAATCTCAGCAAACTATTTCTGCAATCCCTCTTATCGATGTGCCTGTTGACACATTCAAATTACTTCAATCTGAGTTTAAGGCAAGACTTCTCTTGGCAAGAGCAATGTTGACAAAACCCTTGTTGACCTTCCCCTGGTAAATCACATCTCCCCACACATGCAGTAATTATAGTTGTACTAGTCTGTGCAGAATAGGTGCCACTTTTAATGGTTACTAGTTCTCCAGCCTTCTCTTAGAAACAATTGAAAGAAAATAATGTAACATTTGATACAATCCACTTAGATGCCAAGAAAGTTTTAAGCAAGGTACCATAGTTGGAATTTCACTGAACTGTAAGAATTACTGAATCCCTGAGTTTCCTGGGTGAACAGTATCTGTTGGGAATTTGTCACTGTCTTGTGTAATGAACTTTATAAGTCAGCACCTCCATTTGAAACAGATCAGATTTAAGGCCAGTGATTAAGTGTTCCAGCAGAGGAACATAGACTCAGGAGGTTCTTTGAGGTTTTCCACCATGGCTTTATCATCTATTAGTACTGGTTTTGCAGCCAGTTTGATTGGTGGGTTTCAGCTTTTGATACTTGGTACACTTAGATTATTTCAGATCCTCTTGAAAATTATTTATTATTGGGTTTTATGCATTTTCTAACTCTTTCCTTTGATATCATTCATGAAATCTACCATAACCCTCTAGTTACAGGTTTGGTTGTTGTTTTTTCTTATTTTGGTTAGCCTTCCCTTCTGTATGATTAATCCATGTTTGTGCTTAATCTGAACCTCTTTCTGGCTTTTGGGTTATGGGTTTTATGGTTTTATGGGTTTTTTTGATATAGTACAGCCATTCTGAAGTACGAAATAACTATTTTTCCTCTACCCATGTCTTTATTCTAGTGACTTTCCATAATTCTTGACCTCTACTGAGTACAGAGTTGGAGTTTCAGGTAGATGATACTTCACCAGCTTTCTAAGATGTCTTTTCAGATTAACAACTAAACAAGTGCTCATCATTGTAAGTATTTGGTGAATGTTACATATAACATTTATAAACACCAATTTTCATTCGTCATTTTATCAGACATGATTTAATATTGCAGGCTCTTTCTACAAGTCTTAGAATCAAGTTTAGATGGAACTTTTTGGAATGGCGTTGTTCTGTCTGTGAACTATTTATCCCAATTTCCAGATCACGTATTGGACTTCAGAGGTCCCAGTACAGATTAATATTTTTTATCGATGGATGGACTACCCTATTTCTCACTATTTTGTGATATGTGAAGGAAGATACAGAAAGCCAGGTTTCTTTTTCTCTTATCATTTTAATTTTCCCACTGACTAGGTTTTTGTCTTCCATTTATTTCTTATCTCACAAGGACACTTTAATAATAAAAGTTGATTACCTGTAAATATTTTTAGGGTTATGGAACTGTGATTTTGGTTTTGAGAGAGCCCATCACAATGGAGTCGTGGAGTTGTTGGAGATTAAAGTGTTTAGACTATTGCTATTTAATAAAAACATAACAGTATATAGTTATTATGAAAATTGTCACTGATATAGCAATATTGTTTATTCCACATTAATAACAATAATTGATTTGGTATCAGTAGGTTAGCTTAATGGCCTGAGTGTGGTTTTTCTTTTAAAAATCTTAATTTGTCTATACAAATATATCATCTTTGTCCAGTACAAGACCACTTTTGGAGTGTGTTAACACTCAGTATTACTGCATTCTTTCCTTCTCACAGTAAGGAATTTGAGCCATTTTATTAACATGAGTAGGAACTAAACAAGGATATGCTAAATACATAGGATATGATTAGAACTTAATGGGAAACAGCATGTAGTGTGTTGGTGAAGAATAGTACAAGTACAGCACACTGAATAAAAAAAAAGAAACAAAATAATTTAATATATACAGGCAGTGAATGTATTTCCCTGTGTTAATAATAAAAGCTGGAGATGTGGAGTGGCAGCTAGCTGGGTAACTGACCCTGTTCACAAGAAGGGTTCCTTTAAGAGCAAAAGAGGTAAATCCACTACCCAGAGTGATTCATAAAATACACTGTTTAGTAGTTTGTTTGGAAAGGAAGGTGGATTCTGTGGCATGCCCTGGAGGAAGATGGTGGATTACCTTTGTTTTGTGAATGTTTTAAGAGTAAATGATCCCCTGAGGAAAAAGTCCTGATCTTGGTTCTGAGCTAAAGAGATAAGCAGAGCTCCTCCCCACCCATGTGGGAGAAGCAGGTTTCATAAAACTGCATATTTTCCCATGGGAATTATTGAAACCCATATTACATGTGGCTATGAATCTATGCTAGGCAAAGTCCTGGGATGTGCAGTGACTTATAGGAAGTGTTCATACTTTGGGAAGAGGATGGAATGAATAACTTCATAAATCTCTTCTACTTCCATGATCATTTGCAGAAAGTAAAAAAAAAACCCTTTAAAAGCACCTGGGAGTTTTTCAAATTGAAATAACCTCCAAAACACAGAAGAAAAACCCAACAGCAGAACATCATCTGTGTTTATGTCACACAAGGAGGGTTTTATTTCATACCATGGAACAGGGGATCTAACAGCAAGAACATGTCTGAAAGAGATAAGAAGGAGAAGACTAGTATACTTTGGCCTGATTGCTGAAGTTGTCTTCTCCCTCTTGCTGCTAAATGAGATCTGGACTCCTGTGGTATACCAGTTCAGAGGTTTCTGTAATTCCTCTCTTCTGTACTTCTTTTTTCTCCTCTGTTCCCTTCCATGTCTGTCTTTCACCAAGTCATCTGACTTGGTCTCCTCTTTTATCTCCATGGATGTTTTTCTTTCCCATACAGCGTTTCATTACTTTGAAGGCCTCACCCTTACTTAGCACTATTTGGCCTATTGTCACTTTCAAAATATGTAAAATAGCACTCCACATTAGTGATCCAGGAGTTTATAGTACATTTCCCAACACTTCCCCTACCTACTCAGCAAGACAGAAATTTGGCTACTACTCTTGAAATATACATATTCCAATATTTTCTAAGTTTGAGTCACTTCTGTGGTCTTCTGTGGTCTTCCAGAACTACACAAATATGCTGCAACTGGACTGACTTACCTGCTGTGCTAGTTTGGAAATCTGCTATTACTGCATCACAAAGGAAAGAAGATACCAACATGAGAGAGCTTTTTAAAGGCAGAAGCAACCTGAATTTGTTCTTCATTATTGTGAGCATATGTTCTCTGTAATTATAATAACACATAATGGTTTTCTTCCCTGAAGCATATCAGAGTTAATCTCCCATGGGAGGGAATATACTCTTGTGAAGTTCCTTCCTGCTACAGCCCTTTTAAAATCCACAAAGAAATTACTTGGCCCTACATTCTGACACAAAGTGGTCCCTATTTCTTTTATCTGCCAGGAGATGGTGCTGCCAGTCTTCCATCTCTTCCTTTCCAGTTTTTAGGAAAGGTGGCACATGTTTATGTATAAATAATGAAGATACTTCTGCCATCTGACAGGTGTGCTTTTGTCCTATTAGGGATCTTAAGAGGAACACAAAACACCTTTCCGTATTTCAAGCTTATTACTGTCTTACAACTGGACACACATATTTAAGATTCACCAGATGTCAATGGCAAAGCCATTCAGGAAATTTCCAGAGATTTTTAGTGTTTCACAGCAGGATGATGAATATAAACCACTTAACTTTATGATTTCTTGAGTTGTTTCACACATGCCTTTCTCACCTTTACAGACATCTGTGGATACTCTCTGACAAGATGGTTCATACTTTCACAAGCATATCAGCCCTGTTCAGAGAACAAGAGCTGTGACACTGCTTTAAATGGAAGCAAGATGCAGTTTTAAAACTCATCCTTAATCACTTTTTGTAATTTAGACTGTTCTGTTAGCATCAATGTTAACAGGTCTGTGGCTTCAGGTTTTACTGAGCACATTTGACAAAATTTGGCCTGAAAAGACCTTGCAATGTATAATGGAGAAACACATTCTCTTCTGCTTGATCACATTTATAAATATGTGTGAATGCCACAGAGCAATGTACTTCCTTTTAAGCTTAAAGAATCTATTTTTTGGCTTTGTTTATTTGCTATCAAATTTTCTTTTCATCAGTGCAATTGTTTGGTAAAACTTATGGCTACAGTAAAAAAAAAAAACAAACAAACCAAAAAAACCTAAAAAAGAAGAATTGAACCTAATGTCAAATTCCCAGGTTTTTTTATATTCTGGTTCTAAAATACATCCTGATGATTTAATGTATATCCTGGTAATTTCTCTTACCCACCCAACAGCTGTCACAGACACTGGCGGAAGTTAACATCTCTGATATCAATTCCTGCTCTTCAGAGGACATCAGATATTTTTATTGATTCTCTTTTCTCTCCTAGGAAAAAGCTTCTTTGATGTGAAATTTAATAGAAAAAAAGAGAATCTAAGTACAAGGTAAAATATGTTTCTTCTGGGCAGTATTTTGGATCAGACATTAGGACCAGGCATTATTCCAGGAGTATTGTTAATATAAAGGCAGCAAATGTGGACCTTGTGGAAAGTGATGAAATGTGGGCCAGTCTCCAGCTGTACTATTTTGGTGTTTGAGATTCAGAGGGGACTGACTGCCAGTATACTCCAGCAGCCTAAGCAAAACCTGGCAGCTGGACAACTGGACACCTACCATAGTGAAAAAACAAAACAGAACACCCCAAAACATTTAACTGATTGAATTTGCATATGCTTGGGTTTGGAAAGATCTACTGGCATTCTTCCTTGTGCAGACTGCTTTGCTTCCACATGTTTTGTGTGTATATGTACTATGTCTTTATATACATATGAAGAGTTCCTATTTAGGCTTAGAATTGTATGAAAAAGACAAATGAAACTCTTATGTAAACTGAAGTCAGTATTTGATGGCTTCACAAGTGAGATTTATTCTTGTGCATGGGAGTTGAAAGGTGGTACTCCTGTTTCTTTTTCCTATGCAAACTAGGTTGACAATATGGGATTTAAGTATAAGTGGAGATTTCGACATGCTATGGAAAATTAATGTATTGAATTCTGTACCATCTCCATTACAAAGAAACAGAAAAAGAGTGGGCTAGAAAAAGGCTGCACTGGAATGGGTTTGTGCTTTCCAGGGTTGTTTGTACAATACCTCAAATACAGAGTAATTCATGGAATACATGGAATGTAGCATTAGATTTTGCTTGCTATTCCTAATTAGAGCTGTAGAAGACCACACTTGTATCATTGAGAGTTGCTTGAAAAGAGATGCCTGTGCCAACCAAATAAAACCTTGCATTTTCCTTGGGTTCCACAGTAAGAACTGGAGTCTCGAGCCTCCTGCAGAATCAGATGCTCTTGAAAAAATCACTGTGATGGGATGTTGCAGCAATTCTCCTTCTGTAAAATGAGTAGTTGTGTGCCTGCCTTAATGCTCCTCTGGGTACCATCTTAAAGCTTCAACAGAGGGGAAAGACCAGGACAAGAGGATCTCATGTAGTGACCTGGTGACTTTGCAGCAGAAGGACAGGGCAGTTGCTCTAAATTGTGCCAATGATGAATGAACCCATTCACCCCAGAACTGGAGGAATGCAGGCAGTTTTTTGCTGAGTTGCTGCAGTCCTTAGTGTCTGGAGGTTTCATTCTCCTTACTTATTTTTGACCCTGTCAACTCACTGATATCTGAGCAATATAAGTGTGAAGCATTGCTGCTCCAGGCTAGCAAGTACTTCACACTTAGAATAGGTGTAAGTGCCTGCACTGAGCAGGAGATCTGGATCCAAGTCCTCACAGTTCTTTCTCAGACAAAATAGTTCTCCTGAGTATGTGAGTGAGACCAGGAGGATTTATTTTTAAATCAGTTCTTTACAAAGATAAGTTCACCAAATGTCTTGGGCCTATGAACACTGTCAAAATCTTCTTGTGACCAGAATTCACACATACCACCTGTTTCCATAAAGAAAAGGAAACCTCTATGTGCAGCCTGCATCTGGGACAACAGTTCACCACTGCAAAATGGGCCTGCACGTGTATTGGACTTGTAGACAGCCTACTGATGTCAGGCTCGGGGGCAGCACTGGCTCACTTCATCCAACAGTCAGGGTTCAGTTGACCCACACTGCCCATCCTCATGATGGAGCTTTGGTGAAGCAGCTGCATTTGAACTGCTTAAGACCTGTGTGTGATTCAAGTCACCTGCCCATCAGCTGAGATTTCAACATTTTTTTTAATATGTCTTCTTATTTATATGCCTTTGATGTCTTATTTTCATGGTGCCTCATTTCTCTCCACTGCAGGGCTTTCAGTTCCGCATGCTTGAAATGTGACTCAGAATCGCCACTCCCAGCCCTGCCCAATTACACTGCTCTGGGATGTGCTCATCAGCCAGATCTGATATAGGACACACAGCAAGAAGACAGAGAGGCACTTCCAAGGGACACTTCTGCTGCAGGACAGTGCTGCTAGAAGGCCTGTTCCTTTCTATACCTGTGCAGCCTCTTCATCCTTCTCCTGGCTACCTGCAGTGGTTTGGTTGGAAGTATAATCTGTGTAGCAGTAGTAAAGAGCCTCGAGAGACCTGCCCTCAGCAAATATGCTGGCTGTGTTATTCATTGAGCTGTAGCTTACATCCCTCTGGTAACACAACTCTGCCATCATAAGGCAGCTTAGAGCACTTTGGTAATACTGTAATCATAAATGTCAGGCGACGTCAAGAGTCTTCAAACAGTTTGGACCACTGGAGTTAGTCAACTCTGAAAATTTATTGTACTCTGTTATTAAAATTCTACCTAAAACCATGTTTTCATATGATTCTGTAGAGTCCATACCAGTGGCTCATGGGGGAGTTAGGAAACTACTGGCCAAAACACTTCAGCTAACCTAACTAACTTAAGGTACCGTTAAAGAGACTCTATCTAAGTCTCCTCACCTTTCTGTGTGTGAATCAGTTTTCCAGTGGTAGAGCACTGAGTGATATATATTAGATATGCAATGCAAGAGCCAAGTGTTCATAGTTATTATACTCCTGCTGACCTAAAGCATAATTTAAAAGGACTGGGAAATAACCTGAAAACAAGTACAGAGCTAGACCCATTTTAAAGAGATTATCTTAGGTAATTTTCTTTATGAAAAGTGACACCAAGCTTGTTTTTCTCACACATGACTGCAAAGTGTTATTGGTGAGGAACTGGTATGCAGAAGTTTCTAAGGTCCCTAAAGCAGAAAGCATAAGCACAGAGTTTACTGCAAATCAAGGACAGGAACTCATACTCACTTATTACTCTTTTAATATTTTTGTTCTCAAAAGCATACTGATTTATATATAACCAGGGATGGTAATATGGCTCTTTGTATATGATTTTTGCACTTGGGGGGGGAAGATAATAAAGGGAGTGTTTGTGAAAATGTCTGTTCTGAGCAAATGCCTGTTAGTTAAGATAGTATGTAAACAGCACTGTAATTAAAGGACTCAAACACTTTTGAAGTTGATGAGGAAATGTGTGACAAATATCATCAAGAATGTGGTTCAAAGGATACAGTTCATATCTAAGACACACAGGGAAAGCCTAATTCTGATCCTATGCTAGTTGAGTACCTGGCTTCAGCTGAATCAAAGTTACTCTGCTGTCTGATGTCCACAATGGGTAACTTTTCTTGCTTTATCTGGGTTGCTGAGAAAAGATGGCTCATGGGATCAGGGCAAAGAAGGAGCCTGAGACAGGTCATAAAAAGGGCCATGAAAGATGAGAAGGTCAATAAGATGACCAAGAAAAAGTTCAAGAGAGAAAAAAACCCAAACTCTGTAGTGCCATCAGAGCTTTTGCTCATCTCCTTGATACCTTCTCCTTTCCTTTTCCCTTTGAGCTTCACAAAAACTGTTCCAGTTTGGCCAGTTAAATGATGCTGAATATGGTTTATTGTTGTGTTTGTAATTAAATCACACGGAATTCTTAGGTACACTTAAAGTTTATTTGTTGGCTGGTTAGGTTTTTAAAATTTGTATTCACAATTAGAGGTGAAAAAAGGAGTGGAAGGTGTAAATAGTTATGCAGAATCGAGGTCTGCAGTTGCTGGATTTCTGGATTGTCTGGAAGACTCCTCCAACACAGCTGACTGGGAAGATTGAGACACAGGGGAACACTTGTGGCAAGACCCCATGAGCCTCCACTTATATTTTCCATGTAAGGGCAGCAGTGTTTGCACAAGACCTCTGGACTCTTGTATCAGTGGTCATTCTGCTAAGGTGCCTTCATCAGGATCACAGACTGATCAGATGTCTGTACCAGCAGACTGTCCACTGCAAATTAAACCATCCCTTTTGTCAAAGTCAGTTCTTCTGTGTGTTTTGATGAAAACATTGCTGGAGCCAGTGTAAGCAAGGATGCATTGCTGCTGTTTCTGAGGCAATTATACTGAGATTAAAGAAAACATCACTTTTCAGGGCCCTTTACAACACTAAAGTGATTAGAACAAAATTAAACCAGTTGAATTTTAGTGTGCTGCTATTGGACAGGTTTTCTCATTTACCACAGCTGATAAAAATCCAGGTCTTTTTCCCTTAAGAATACAGATTATTTGCTTTCTGAGTGTCTAAGAAATAGTCTAAAGCATAATTCACCAAGCCCAAATCTCCAGAATGCAATGATAGTTCCCCAAGAATAAAAACACCACCACTGGGTATACAAATATATTTGTACTTAATGACTATGCACTAAGGGATCTAAAATAAAAAAAAAGATAGTATAAAAATAAAAGTCTTGAGAGAAAAAAAAACCCAGCAACACTGCTGTTTATGCAAGATGAAATAAGTGTAGTGGCTAGTTTTAACACAGGATAACTTTAATGTATTTGTTAGTGGATTAGTGAGAACAACTGACTGCATTAGTGTTTTTAATGCAATGTAGAGTATTGGGATGATTTAGCATTATGTGTGTTTGAAAGACACGGCCCTGAGGAACCTGTATCCTTGAAGCTGGACTTGCTCTGAGAGAAGATATGAATCATGTCATTTCCACAGGTCCCTTCCAGCCTTAATGGTTTTATAATTCCAAAGCATTATTGAAAGTAAGCTACTTTTATTAAAATATTTGCCTTGTTAGTGGCTGACAGCATGGTGTAATAAGAGCAATGGAGGCATGTTGAGCTAAAAAGTCATAGACAGTAAAGTATGAAGCCATAAACAGCTGCACTTTATAAATGTGTGTGTCAAATTTATGCAATGTAGAAAAACAGTTTGAGGACATAAGATCCTCAAATGTATATTATTTGTCTTGCTCCTATTAATGCAAAGATAAACATGAGCAGTTCTTTTATTTTGTTTGAATTTATTGCTTTAGTACTGCCGTTTTACTGTGCAAGCTTCTAGTATTTCCTATCATAACTTAAACCATGTTCAAATGAGCTATTTGAAAAGTTTAATTAATGATTAAACTAGCTGTTCTTACCTGTATACAAACATCCAGAAAAGAGGAGTTTATCTCTAAGGATTTAGACTTTTATTTATGTTTTTTTCCAGACAACATGACCAGTAATTACTGTTAAATGTGGTTTCTAAATAGTCTTCAACCAAGACACCATAATTAAAGTAATGTATTTAGTACAAAATTTTAACAACATTTTTCTGTCCCCATTGAGTCCTGAAATCCAAGTTAGGCAAAGGCAGAAGTGGCTTACAGGACTGCAGACTTACAGCTAATGATGTGTGGTTACTGGCATGGGGTCAGCCAAGGTCCTTAGTAACCAAAAGTTGTTAGCATCTGATTATAATTAATTTCCAACATCAAAGTCCTCTGCAAGCAGACACGGTCAAATTGTCAAATCTCATAAATAAATACATATATATATATATAAAAACACATGTAAATATATATAACAAAATACTTATAAATAAAATACGTGTTTCAGTATATACATACTAGCACAACTGAAACTATTTGGTATATTAATTATTATTTTCCCACTTTTTACTTCTCATGAATATGGTGCATCTTTTAGGTTATAATTTTAAAGAGAGGATTCCAAATCCACTTCTCAGTTGAAAGTAATAGGAATCTTGCTTTAGATAGTTTCATTTCAATGAGTTAAACTTCTTTAGTGAAATATTTTTCTGTGGTTAATTATCAGCTCATTTTGTTTCTTGCATTAATCCCATATTCTCCTGTTTCCTTGATTACAGGCATCACTACCAGGACATTTCATTCTGGAACACGACAGAAACAGCCTCACTCACAATAAAGCACAGGAGGACTGTAAACAAGGTTTGCCTTTTGATGCTTAAATTTGTTTTCACCCTTAAGCCCAACTTGTGAAGGTAGAAAGAAATTAGATCATGCAGAACACCTGAAATTGTAGTAAAACAGGTTTGCTGACCATGCCTGTGTTCTGCTAGGGGGTCATTTGGAATGACACTTCTGCTAAGGATACCAAGCTTCTTTCCTTGGTGAAGATCTTAATTTCTGTCTTTTAGTTACAACTCTTTTTTTTGTGCAGTTTGAGACTCAGGAGCTTTCACTGCTCTAAGATATTTCTCCTAAAGAGACTTTGATCATGCAGCCTAATGAATGAGAATCTCGTGTCACTCACTTTGAGCCAACAATAAACATTACAAGACCAGACCCAGAATACAGTGCAAAGTAGACAAATACACCTGCCTTGAGTCTGACAAGTAGGGATGTTAGAATCCTTCTACCTGGGTTTTTGTTATGTTGCCACATCATCCATCCTAATTTGCACTGCCATGGGGAGGAGGAGTGCTCCTGGCCTCTCCTCCCATGCATTTCTTTTCCTGAGGAACCATGCACTGTGGGAGGGGAAGGGAAAAGGGAAAATTGTCCATCCTTGCATGTGGTTTTGCATTCAGGTGGTCTGATGCCAGCCTAAGAGGGGCACTAGGACAAGCAGAGATGAGACAGCCGATTTCAAAACCAGTATGGATTTGTGTTTGTTGACTAAATTGACTGCACAACTGTGACCTCAGAGGGGTCCTCCAGATCAAGTATCCAGCGCAGGAACTGTCTGTCAGCAGAGGAGACATGGCCCAGAAGGACACGCTACCACTGGAGCTTTGTACCCCAGCAATTCCCATTTAATGAAAATCTTTAGACATCAGTGTCTGGGAGTATGAATCAGCACAGCCTTTGGATTGCTGAAATTTGTAAGGCTCAGACTGATACATTTTATCCCACAACACTGTTTAGAAGCAATATGTAGTTTTTAACCTAAGGATCCTTGAAGTAAGAAAGTAAACAAATTACTAATAGCAAACAGGAGTTTTGGGAGTGAGTGGGTGCAAATGGATGTGAAGCTGAGTGACAAGGAAGAAAACTAAACAAAAATACATCAAACTGTATCTACCAGTTACTTTTGTCTCAGTGGAGTAGGTCTTTGAGGCAGTTTCCCTGAACAGCAATAATCTCTCAATTGGAAAAGGAAAACAAAGGAAAGCTTCACAAGTCAAGGGTAAAAAACAAGCAGGAACAGATAGGAAATACGCTTACATGTTAATGTAAAATATAAGATTTTTGATTAATGTAAGATTTTTAATTTTTGGTCATGCTTTCTACAAAGGTTCCTCAGTAGTCAGACACTCCTCACTTCTACATGTTAAACTTTCTGCATTTTGGCAGTATTTTTCTTATTAACCAATGATATTTTTATAGTACACATGTATTTATTTATATTTCTTAAGAGCTTGAAGATTTTCTCTCATTGTTTGAGAAATTGGGATTGCTTTGCACAGGAAAATACTGTAGAAGAATAATACAGTGCATGGAAAACTATGATACATGCCTGTATCTTTTCTGTGTCTCTGGCTCCACAGGTAGCAGGGTAGAGTGCTGCTTTTGGCTACATAAGTAGGAAAGAACTGATTACGAGGGCCAAAGGAACACAGGACTTGTCCAATCTTGTACATCCAAGAAAGTCTGTAATAGACATCTGGAAGGCCCCATAAAATGTGTTGTCAATAAATCTAAGCTTAAAAACAGTTTTTTAACATCCTCTAACCCAAAATACCTAAAGAAAAAGACACAACTATTAAAAAGTAAGGTACAAGAAGAGGTCAAGAGAAATTGGGCATTGCAGAGGCCCTTGGTTTCTGCAGTAATAGAGAAAGTATATGACATACAGTTCTAGCAAGAAGCACTCTAGTCCACTTTCTCTTACTGAGGAGGAAATAAATCTTACCACGGTTCTTCCAAAGTGGGTATGAGAGGCAAATTCCTCCTGGATCTCAGCTGGCTAGATGAGCATCCATCTACTAATTGCAAATCAGAGTTGTGAAGGATCTCAAGGGTAAGCATCCTCTTTCAGACAATACAGTGGTTTTGTGTAGTTTCTATCAAAACAGCAAAGTGTTTTATTTGTCTGTGTATTCTGCTTTTTAAAGTTCTTTATCTTGTATACACCCTCACCTCTCTACGCAGATACAGGTATTTTTAAGTGCATTCTTGTAATCCATTATCATCTTAATGCTACAGTCAGGACTCTTTGGCCTTTGTGTTTAGTTTTGTTTGTAGGTATGATGTGAATAATATTAATGGAGAATGATTACAGATGGGATGCACCAAGTGGGAGTAAGATTCCATGTACAAACTCTGCAACATGAGGTTATGTTAATAAAATGTATTTCAAAAACTTGATATAATCTAAATGCTGATTCCAAAATTCTTCATATTGCAGATAAGATCTGAGACTACAAGACCTTGGGCTGCCTCTCTCAGGGAGAACAGGTAGCCTCTTCAGCCAGCAAGAAGTACCAAGTGATGGGAAAGGAAAAAAAAAAAAAGAAAGTCTCCTTTGGATCATGACAGCCAGGTCATGGCTAATTATTATAAACAGCTGCAAAAAAAGTCACCTTAAGGCCAGTATAACCAACTGCAGACTTTGGCACAGCAAGCCCAATGGAGAAGTAGTCAGCACAGTGCTGCACTTCCAAAATCTTGTAGATTAGTTGTATGGGGTAACATTAAAACTGGACAATAGAGTATATTCTTCCTGCAACTGTTTCTTTGAGCTCTTTTCAAGTCTTGCTTCTATTCACACATGAACTGCACCAAGCAGATGTCTCATGCAGCTGAGGAAGCAGTGAATTCCAGGGAGAACAGATGGCAAGTCAGTTTTAAGAATTTCATCTAGAAGACCAACATAATGATATAGGCCTCTATGGAATTCAATTAATCAGTGCTTGCAAGGTGACAGAATCAAGAATAACAGGATTTATTTGTTACACTGGGAGATATGTTTTCCATATTTTTTATCCTTGTTGTGAGTCATGTGATTGCATGACTAGTTGGGGAATCAGAGACAACTCCAGTGGCAAAGAGAAATTAGGTCATCTGGTCCATCCGTGTTGCCAGGACATGACTGTTCCCTGCAGAGGATCACTTCCCACACAGTTATCTTTCCAACCGTGTTTTAGAAGATGGCAATGCAATTCAGAGTCCCATTTGGCTATGTCTTCCAAGAGCTTTTGAGGATCTTTTATTTGGCCAAGAATGCTTAATGAGATAATCAGATCTAGCAATTTTAAATTCATTTCAAAGGAAAAAAAGCAAATCTTGGAATTTCATTTTCAATAAAAACTTTTTAATAGAAAAATTTTGCAATATTTGGGATAACTGGAGACACTGTTTTCATTAGACAGGAAATAGTTTATGTGAATCAGTTCTACCAATTAAAACAATAGGTTTCCTGCTAAAAGGAGCAAGCAACTAATTCAGTAAGTGGTTTAGGAAGCATCCAGTACTTGTGATACTCTGAGTGGACTGTCATCAGGAGACTCAGCACTAGTGCTAGCTGACTGCAGGGATTCAGGTTACCTTGATAAATTACCCCAAGTGCTCGGATCCCCATCCCTCAGAACATCCCAATGGGCAAACACTCAGACTGTACAGAGCAGGACTGGTTATTAAGGAAAACAAAGTAATAAACACAAATGGAAGAACAGTGATAGAACTTACACATAGGGAAATGGTACACAACTTCCCTTATGGCAGCTTTATCATGTGTTTCACGATACCTGCAAATGCACACAATCCCCAAGTTCTACCACTCCATCACTGTGCTCATTGAGTAAACCCAGTATTTGAATGAGTAAGTGGCAGTCCAAATATTTCCCTGAGGTTGATCTCCTTTCTCTAAGGGCCCATTTGCTTTGTTTTACCCAGAGATGTGACCATGTATTTTGGTTTAAGGCTTGATTCATTTTCTGAAGTTGGGCAGGGATTCTACAAACTACTCAACCTCACTGGATCACTTCCTTTGTCTACTAAATTCTGATCCTTCTTTGCCTTCTCACACTTATCTACATAATTTCTTGATGTTTTTAGACCATCATTCTCCACTAGAGAATTTTGTTTTAACTTTACCCTGCAGCAACATTCCCATCAGAGTAGATTCAAAAGCATTTAAGAAACTTCAGCAGAAACCCATCAGTTCAGAAACAAACTCATCATGACAAAATGAGTAATGTCTTCTTTAGATCTCTGAAAAGATCATGACCACTGCAACCTCAAGTACAAGAAAATGTAGTTGTTTTTTATGTCTAACTAGAGAAATCGTAAGATTTTCTTGATAAAAAATGCCTTTTTTCCTTCTCCAACAGAGGAAGAGTACTCTCAGGTGCTGCAGAGTTCAGGAATAAAACAGGTTACGCTCTCCAGTTGCCTTATTAAATCTTCAAATTAATCCACACAGCTTCTCCTTTTTTCCCCAGCAGAACTACAAAGACTGCAGGGATATTCCATCTCCACTGTAAGTCTATGCTATAAGATTCCTGAAGTCATTGTTAAATTCTTATTATCCTACTTGTCTTTTAAAGTACATAAGAACACTCAATTTCATTTCTTTACATAAATAATACTTGACCTTGTCTTAATTTAAATGGGCTTTATCCCATGATTTTAGGTAGTCATTGCAGTTATCAAAGGTTGTCCAAAATTCATCAGTCATGAAAGGGTCAGCATGCCAGGTGGGAGTCCCCAGGGTCTGGATGTTTGTGCATGTCATGCTCTCTATGACAGGGTTGTGAAGCTTTACTGTAGTAACATTCTTGATTAGCTCCACAGTGACATGACAATTTTCCTTGGCTTTGTTGCAGTAACAGGTTTCTAGATTCCGCTTGATGAGGAAATATGTGGTTAGTAACAGAAGAACATACTAAATTATAGACCTTTTGTGGGTGTAGCAATTTCCTACTGTTAGAGGAAAAACAAAACAGTATTACAAATCCACTGAACAGCCAACTTGTTTTCTTTCCTATTACTTTTCTTACTGCACCATTTAATCGTAGTGATTTATTAATTAGTAGTAAGGCCTGCCTTGTTTTCTCAGCAAGTCAAATTCAGAAAGCCAAGGAATACAACATGAAGTTCCAGGATGCTGATATAGATCTTATATTTGTACCTGGATGGAAAAAAAAAAGTTACATTTGGAAAGTATGAGCACCTTTAAAAAACTGAAGTGCCTTTGACAAGAATGATTCACCCTTTCTCCTCCAAACTGGACAAAAATATTTGCAATTGACCCATCAACAAGCAAAACAGATAAGCAATATTTCCTTTTTATGTTTTAAGACAGTGAAATAATAAGTGAACCATTTTTATAAAAAGCAGTCATTTGGAAAAAAGAAAATATATTTATTTCTTTCAAATGTCAATGCCCATGCTGTTAAAGATCATTCTATTCAGCAACGAAAACAATTCCTTCTTCCTCAGCTGTTTTTTCCCTTTGCAATAGATTCTTTGCAGATGCACTCCAAAGCAAATTGTCTCCCTTACTAGCCAAATTATCACTGACAAAATACAAATTTAACTACTGCAGATCATCGATTAACTGAATCCTCAGCAAAACCTTGAGCAAAAGGATGTGCAGCATTAGGACCCAGCTCTGAAAACCAATTACTGTTACAGATGTACTGAAGTTCTGCACAATGTGCTACCCCTGCATACCACAAAATGTTCCTGAAGCACTCTCAATCTAAGATTAGTCCCTGTGCAGAGCCACTGACAGCAGAATGCTTACAAGATTTAGCTAACAGGCAGCACTGACACAAAAACAAGTGGGTAGAAACTAGCTAAGAGAAAGCTTCTACATGGCTTTCTAGCTATCAGCAGGATGAAGACCTGGAACAGGCTTCTAGTACTAAAGGAGGAAAAGAATCTAATACCAGCTTGATAAATATACTGTGTAGTTCCTGTGATGACAATGAGTGGGATGTGATACTTAGGGGGGGGGGGGTCCTCCTCCAGACTTATTTTAAGTACATAAACCACAGCATAAGTTGTCCCACTTCAAAGCAGAAGTCTTCTATTGGTTAGGCTGGCACTTTAGGCTGTATCCTCCACAGAAACCATTTATATTCTTAATTCTCAAAGTTTATATTTTTTTATTATTTATCAAAGCTACTGGTTTTGAGTCATATTCCACAGATTCACTAGGTGACCATGTGCTCTTGGTACAGAACAGCTTGTAACCATCTCATTACTTATAGAATGGAGCAGCACATGCAGAGATATAAACATCTTTTCAGCCTTGAGCACACACTAGACCTTCATTCATGATATCCCCCACTTTTAAGTGACAAAGCATCTTAAGTCCTTTCCACTCTGGAGGCAGTAACAAGAGACAGCAGTGTTTGCATTCAATATTGACAGCCTTTATTCTTCTATATTCTCATGCCTTACAACACTTCCAGTAGTGATCATCTTGCTGGATCTTCTCTCCTCTGGGATCCTACACACCTGTCACCTGGGTGCAGACCATCCCCTCAAGTATTTTCAATGTCCAAGAGATAAGAGCAATTTGTGCCTTCAAGCATCTCTCCATCACCATCCAGTGTGCCCAGTCCTCACTCCAGAGCCGTAGAAAGACAAGGTAGAAAGGAAGAGCAATGCAAGGACAGCTGGAGTAAAGTGGAGCAGTAGAGTAACCAGAACATTAGAAACACATTCGTAGGGATGGAAGTTTCACAGCAAAGTGGCTTTGAACTGAGCTGCTAAATAATTCAAGCGGGCCCAGCAAAAGCTGTAATTTTGTTTCCCACTGAGCATTACTGAAACTGTCCCAGGGGTATAAAACTTGAGGGGAGGGACAAAACGTAATATCAAAAATTCGGCCAGTTAAGTTGGCTCTAGCTGCAATTCCACTGTATACAAACTTTTTTGGTGATGCTCTGGTACTCCTTGAGAAGTTCCTCTTGTTCCTCCCACTGATGAGACTGTCAACCATCTCTCAAACCACAAACCTCAACAGCAATAAGCTGGCACGAGTTTCCACTTGACACAATGCTTACTGAGCACTAAGATTTATGTGAAACATTTTGGCATAGCGACATATTAACAAGTATCTTTACTTTGAAGTGACCAAATAAAAATGTATTTTATGTGGGTGCTTAGCCTATGTTTGTATAAAACCCTACTGAAGACCTGGTATATGAAAATTGAAAATTGTATTCTCAAGGGCCAGTATTTAAACTGATTAATTCTAACATTAAAGGTGAATTAAGTAATGAATGAAGTTCACCAACTACTGGAAACTTTTAAACCATACAGCAAGATTTTGTTCAGACCATTCAGTCTAATCAAATTAGCTCTATAAATGAAGTTTAAGTCATCCATACATTGAAACCAATGAAATAATGCTAACAGAACAAAGGCAGCTTTTTGTGTCAGCCTGGATATTTCAGAAGGGATGAGAGTGGGAAAACATTGGCTCTGCCATTTTATAATAGCCCAAATATTATATTCTGTTACCTCCTGGTTCACGTTGGCATAATTTGTTCTAGGAATAGAAACTCAAGTATTTTATAAACTTCACTGGGCTGATTCATGCATCCTGTACTACCGAGGGTTCAGTGTCTCTTAACACATCCACAAAATCTCTTTGGAAGCCTTAAGTTATGTGAAGAATGCTATAACGCACAGTGTTGTTATTGCTGTTACTGCTGAAACCAAACTATCACTACTCCCTGGCTGTCACACACCAGACTTCCCTAGGGAATGCAATTTAAGTAATTCATAGCACAGAAACAAACATCTCCCTCTCATTTTCCTCCTTTTTACAGGACTGTAATTACCCTCTTTTATTGTTTCCGACAGACTTAAAACAGATTGGAAATACCCAGCATCTGCTCACTAGCATCAGCAGCCATATGTGATTTGAAGCCAAGGCCTAAACGACCACAACAGGAATGAGAATTTAACTAAGCAAAGAGGTAGGACAACAAAGAATATAATTTACAATAAAAAAGCTTATGAGCCACTTCTAATGGCATTTACAGAATCTCTGCTTAGGAATTCCTACAGATATCAATACACAGATCCTACACTACAGACAAACTGCCTTTAAACTAGTATACAAGTTTTAAAATACTTGATGTCATAGTTTCAGGCTACAGTTTATTATCAGGTGTACTCATGCCCATGTGGCAAAAGACAAAGCATTCCTCTAGGAAACTGGAGTCTTTGCAGTGTAGCGGAAAATATCATGGCAGTAATCCAAAGCTGGTCCTAACATTTCACCCTCCCACTCTGGCATTTTACACAGCTGAAAGCTGGCCAAGCTGTAATTGCTGGAGCTTTCAGCAGCCGTGTCATCTAGCCACACTCACACAAGAGGGCAGTTAGTTCTTGTTACACAAGTCTGGGATTTCAGCTGTACAATGGGAATCTAAAGTCTGTACTCTTCCAGGAAAGTCTGCCCTTTCCCTACATATGATGATTTATTGCCCAAGTTTACCTGGGAGGGAAAGAATCAGCAAAGTAATTTAGGGAATTAAAATCCATCCCTTTTATTTGTGGTATCATCCCATTCCCCATCACATTTCATTCCCTCTCTCCTCTGAAACAATGCAAATATTTGGCTGAATTTTGGAAGTAATGAAGAAGAGAGATGCTGCTGTATTCATTATTATTAAAATTTAAAAGCTGATGCTGCAGTTTCAAGCCTTTTTTGCATGCAAAATGTAGATGCAATCAACAAAACATAACTAGAATTTGCCCAGCTTGATAAACACCAGAAAGCACATTTAATAAATTAAGCTATAATCTAGCTAGAAGGCCCAGCTGCTGTTCCTGTAAGGAAAACTGACAACTCTCTCAAGGTACAAAAGGAAGGAAACAAGAGAACAGTGTTAGCTGACAAATGTAGTGCAAGCTAAGACAGTAGCCAGAAGACAGCAAAGAAAGCAAACCCTTAAATGAGCAGATAAAGCTGACTGCTACATGTCAGTACCCAAACAGCTTTACTGAAGAATGGCAGCACTTAGGAGCTAAAACCTTTATGAAACAAATAAAGGATCGGCAAGAAATGTGTGGGTGAGAGGAAATTACAAAACCAAAACACTGATTAAGAAGCATGAATTTATGTAGGGTCCTGCCACACAATACTTTGACAGGAATTCAAAATGACTGCATGAAGAAAATGGAATTGATACCAGTTTTTTTAGAGTAATGCATGTCAGTTGAAGCACAGAATCTGAACACCGTGCACACTCAAATAATAAATAAAAACATGGAAGGTGGAAGGTACACCACCAGAAGTTTTCAAGGACCACTAATAAATATCCTTTCTTGTAATGTGATTTCTTGTCCAGCCACAACACTAACAAGAGTTAAATATTTTCAAAAACCCACCAACATGGGAAAGTAAGAGGCAGAGATTTAGGGAAAAAAAAACCTCTTCAGGGGTCTAGGGGGAAAAGAAAAAAGCAGAGCAACATATTGTTACAAAAAGCTCCAAAAATGAGGGAAAACAGTAGATACACTAAATGTATCTAAGAACAAGATGTAGCAGCACACAAGCTAACATTCTAGAGCACAACAAATTCCTCTGCATTACTGAATATGTAGCTGGAACACTGTAATGAAATCTATCAAGAAAAGCACAACAAAAAGAAATACAGCAGAGAATTCCAACAGATTACAAAAAAATTGCATCATTTAGTTGAGAATATCTGTAAACCATGAAAGAGTATCAAGAAATTTGCTATCTTTTCTCAGTTCATTGCTAAGGTGAATCCATTTGCTCTAGGAGATTTAATGATTAAGAAGTCCACATGTCAGAACAACTATAAGAAGTTATCCAGGGTATTTTTTTAAAACAAGTTATTTTAAAAGCAGACTTTTAAGAAGTATGCAATAAATTTGAGAAAGACATTTCCAGCACCAGATACTTACTTTTTTTAAGTTCAGCCCTTAAGTTATTATATGGAATTGTTACAAGTCAACAGTGGGTGGTTTATAAAATGTAATTTTATTTAATGTTACTTTGCTGTTACAGAGGGCATAACATTTTCACAAGGCTTTTTTGGGACTACAATCAATGATTAGCAACACACAATAGTGGTCCAAACTCTCTAACAATCACTGGACAAACTTGACACCTTCTCACATGTGCACAAACCTGCATGGAAAAGTACTAAATTTTATACTTGGACATGTGAACTTCAATTGGTTTTCCCATTCCAGTGTATTAAGAAATGACATGCACTTCAGTCTGCCAAAAAGCACTGCCTGTACTCCAGCAGTAACATGCTGCTTCTAATACATAGTAAAGTGAATACCAGAACTACAAAGGCAGGAGTGTAAGTGAACTTTTATTGGGAAGGGATATCAACTTAAACAGCAGCAACTGAAGATTAAGTGAAGCCCCTGTTTTTGAACACACAAGCTTCTGTATTACATGATACGGGAAGCAACTCAGTTTGTGGTTTTCCAAACATTAAATGCTCAACTTGATCTGGCCCAGAACTTCCATATTCCTACTGAAACGAATACACAGTATCATGTGAAAGTCAATTATGGAAAGGAAACCCTGCAGAATAAGAAGGGAATGTGGAGAATTAAATGCTATGTGGAACGCTCTTTAGTTGCAATTAACTACATTTTCATATCTTACTGTAATACAAAACACAGTCAACTGGCAGGAACTGGTTCAGATTTGTTTTTAAATACCAGGTACACTTTAGTCCGCTACATAAGTGTTTGGAAGTTACTTATGTTTATATGAAATGAAGCTATTAATACTTTTCTACAGCAGTAACCGCACACCAGGAAGGCCAGGACAAACACAAATCAAGGAATGGAGTTTTCCCAAAGCTGCAGTGTGAAAAGACTATAAATTGATTTCCATACACATGGATGGGTTTTCTTTGCTATAGGAAATCCAAGTGGAGCTATAAGGAATGGAGACGTGTAAAAAGGTTTCTTGAGAAGGAAAGGGAGAATGACGCCCCACGAGCAGTTTAGTTTTCTGCACCTTCTGCAGCATCACATTCTTCTCCTGCACTGTCTGATGTCCATAACTAGAAAGAAAATAAAAAGCGTGAGCTTTCAGAAGTGCAGCTTGAATTCCAAAAAGGGACAACTACTAACCGTAAGGAAATGATAGTGAATTAGACTTAAGGATACCCATGAAGTACCAGTTCACTGGCACTGCGCAACCCTGGCTTCCAGTACTTGCTGGGAGGGAGGTAACTGAACAGAGCACCCCATGCACAGGGCACAATGAGCTTTTTTCCCCTCAGGCAGAACAGACATGTTCTCAATAACTCAAACTCATGTGCTTAACAATGAGCTGTGCCATCGATCCCAGGCCATTCAACAGCAGCTCCACAGGCAACTTCCATTTCAAATGCAGCACACTGAATACTGCAAGTGTGGATTGTCGCTTTGGTTGTCGAAGCTAAGCACTTCACTTTGCTAACAACAGACACTTCTACTGAAGGACTATCACAAAATAAATGTTGTTGTAAGTTTAAATACAGTAATTATTCAGAGAGGATATTCTCTGAAAAGCTGCCATATTTTAATACAACTTAATTGTTCCATAAGGCACTTCTCTTAAATGGTTTATCTCAAGCAAACTGATTTTATTCTTAGTACACTGAAATTTCTGAGTTTTTGAATGAAAATCAGGACAACAAATAAAGAAAGCTGCCCTGGATGTACACCAGGAGAAACTGTTTTTAGGTAGTCATCAAAAAAGTTTGACTAAGATTCACTGACAGATCACAGATGACTGTTTTAATTCCTTGTCTACCTTTACATTAGGTTGGGCTGAATGCCCCTTCTTCCCTCTACCGTAAGACCATAATACCAGGAAGAATGTGAGCTAACCAGGCTGCTATTCCAGATTACACAGCATGAAGTTGGACATCAACTTGCACAACATTCAAACTGAGTTATGAAAAGGTACCATAACTAAACAGCCCAAGTCAGTGCTGTGCTTTGTGCTAGAACAAAATAAGATGCTGTGCTTTGTGCTAGAACAAAATAAGATTTTTTTTCCATCACAAATTCAGTCTAAACAAACACGTGGAGAACAGAATGAGGTAATACTTAAAAAAGCAACTTACTGTTAGGTTGTCTCTAAGCAACTGCATGATGAGAGTACTGTCTTTGTATGAGTCTTCATTCAGTGTATCAAGTTCTGCAATCGCCTCATCAAACGCCTGGAATAATTAAACCATCTTTAGCCTTTCTATTAACTGATTTAAGCAAGCAGAAACTAAACCTATCAGAAAAGGTAGCTTAAAAAAAAAAAACAACAACATCAGAAGTTAATGACCTGCTCTATTTGAAACAAAACCATACTAAAGACATCATAAAAGCTTGCCATGCTGCTGAAAATTTAAGTCACAGTGTAAATACAGCCTGCTTCTACCCCTTCAATCTGCTAACAATATGACTTAGGAAACCAGAAACTTTCAGTAAGATCATTTCCTTCAAAAACTCTAGGAAGTCATAATTCATACAGTTTTAAGCACAAACTCTCTTCTACTTTCCCTGCAGGCATACTGGGGAAAAAAATTTAAAAAATACTTACTGTCTTTGCCAGTGTGCAGGCAAGCTCAGGATTGTTGAGAATCTCATAATAAAATACAGAGAAGTTAAGAGCTAGACCCAAGCGAATTGGATGTGTTGGCTGCATCTCCTTCTTGCTGATATCAAATGCCTCCTGATAAGCTCCCTGTGAGTTTTCTATTGTTTCTGTAAAAGAATGACAAAGTGGTTTTAAGTTTGTTTCATTTTTTATAAAGGTATTTCTACCTAAACCACTCCATTAGTAGGAGACTGAACAGCTGTATGTATGCCTGTTCTTAGGAAAACACTGCACCTACTTTAATCAAAGTAATGATTGTACACCCATCTTAAGTACACTGACACAACACAGGGAGCAAACTGTTTTGCCACACTAACAAAACACAGGGAGAAAACTAAGCTACTACAGAGCAAAGGTATTCAAGAGAAGATAAACACACAGAACTTGGTAAACACAAGCATCCAAGACTACTGTATCGCTTCAGTGGCCTTTGGTACTTTAGGTGGGGGAAGAAAAAATAATTTGTGCATTACTTTTTCTACAGAACTCCTACTTCATTCCTTGCACAGGACGGACATGTTCATGCAAGTTATGTGTGCAGAGTAAAAAAGGCCCAATTTCTTGAGGCAGCCTGGAAGGCATGTATGACACGTTCTGGAAAAACTGAAGGTTTGCCTCCAAAACTCCGTGTAGACAGGCCAAGATAAAAAAGCCCCAGTGTCGTGCCCAAAATAACTGGGACAAACACCACAGAGAAAAGAGGTTACCAGGTCAGAGTACTTTAGGAAGTGCTACCTATAGTCTATTCCAGATTCACTTCTGATAGACAGCCAATGGACCAACAGCTGCCCTAAACATGCTGCAGAATGCAGGGAGACTGCAGGGGAAAAAAAAATCATTGTCAGAGCTCAAAATACAGCTCTGTGAAGGAGCTAGCTAGTACTAGCACTGCTCTAACAAATGCTGGTAAAAGAACTTGGTAAGTAAAATTTAGTAAGTATTGAAAAGAGTCAAGACAGATTTGGATATTTCAGTATTACACAGTAATGAGTGCTAAAGGACTACCCATTTGTTGAGAATAGGTGAAAGAAGGTAAAAAGCTAGCAAATCCAGGAGATAAATTAGCTTTTTGTAGTAAGTACATAAAATATATTTGAAGTTGAGAAAAACAGATGCTTAGAGGTGGAATATCAGAAAAGCTTAAAGTCTTGAAGTTTGTAAGAAGTTATGCAGAAAAGCCTGCATGGTAATAAACATCAGCTGTAACTTCAGAGCTAAACTCCAGCAGGATCTGCTAACAAGGTTATATTCAATCAATCCCTCTTACACTGTATCCCCTATCAGCATGTGTGCCATTTAACTGCAGTCATTTTAGCCAAGAGGAGCTGGTATTTCTGTGCTTGGATAAGCCCAGATTTGTAGCTGTTGCTCAAGACAAAGTATAAATCAGATGATCTTCGTGAAAGCCAAAGGCAAGTTTTCACTACTACCCTTGGAATTGCTGTTGCTACTTGAAGTAGATAAAGGGTTAAGAATTCCTGAATGCAACACATTAATGCAAAGACTTTTACTCCATTCTGTGTCTTCATCTTTCAGCTTGAATGCTCTGACAATAGAGGGAGACTAATGAAGCCTTTACTGAAGTGACAACCAGCCCTGTCCTCCCACTGTGCGCTGCAATCAGTTTCAGGAGGCCAACACTGCCAGATCCTGCCAGGCCCAACCCCAGAGAACAGCTACTGCAGCATCCACATGCTCCAACAGTCCCTCTCCTTTGTGTCACAGCATTACTGCACAACTAACCTGAGTCTGTTATGTAGAAATAGATCATTAGCTTATGCCATACCAAGAGCTTTTAACATCACAACACTATCTGGACACCTTGCAAGACAGTTTTAATAATTAATTCAATACATCTCCTCAATACAGTTAAAATCTTCCCCAGAAGAGGTTCCTGAGGTACTCACAACTACTTATGCACCTGTTCTAACTCCTAGGAAAGGTCTACAGTCTCAGGATGCCCAGTATCAAGTGGCAGTTTCAGGCCTTTCCTGCTGAATCCAAAGGGTTAAACTAGAAGTTCAGGAACAGTATTATTCCTATTAAAATCAATCATTTTAGAGTAAAGCTCACACTTTTTGGCTAGAATATCAACCTAGTAATTTTGTGGCTTCTTTATAAATGCACTGACTACAGTGAAGTCTGCTTCACAGTGAAATGGTTAAAATTTTAGATCAACAGGACTTTACCATGGAGTACAAAATGTTACAGATATTTGTTTACTCTCCCTAACCAACTTCATTTTAGTAAGAATTACAAACTAAGCAACATTAAATATATACTATACCTTCACTTACACTATTTTTCCAGAAAATTTGAATAAGCATTATGGGACATTTATTCAGGAATTAGGGTAGATGACAGGAACACCAGCTAAAATTCCCTGGCATACTTAAGGTCTAGTCAGAGTTTTGCTCTCAGTCTGTATGAAAACAGGAGATTTCTGACTGAAACACAGCTAACTCATGTGAATTTGCAGTCTGTGTATTTCATTTCCTGGCCCCTCACCCATGGACCGGAACTGTGAAAGACCCAAGGTACTTACGTTTTCTGTCATCACCACAGGCAACCTCAGCAAGGTATCGGAAGTAGTCTCCCTTCATCTTCAGGTAGAATACCTTGCTCTCTGGATTAGTTGCATTAGCTATTAAATATTTGTCCAAGAGCTCCTGAAACAACAACAACAACACACACACATTGACATATATTGCAAACAACACCACAACAAAGTTCAACCTACTTCTCTCCCAGAAGTTTGGATGGACTCAAATGTTTGCTACAAGGCTGAACAGAGTTTTAGGGAGTTTCAGATAGATGCACACTTATTTCAACAAACTGAGCATAGGCACAAAACCAGAGACTACATTAAGATAAACAGACAACTGGCCAATCAGACTGCAAGTAACATGGAAAGGTTTACTGGTGTACAGTTTCAGGACCAAGTTCAGTTTTGAGATATGCACTTCTCATTTCAAAAACACTGCAAATGAGTAAGCTTTTACTTGAAAAGCAAAACACGACACAGAAGGTTTCAAAGCTACATTTTTTTGCAACAATTGTGTTTCTTGGATTTGTGACAAAGAAATCTCCAGCTCTTGACTCCTATCACAGGGAGTCAAGGATTCAGACCCATCCAGTCAACATCCAACCTCATCACAGTGCACCAGCTCTTCAAAAGGCTCTGAAGGAACACCTGGCTCCAGCACAGTAGGGAGGCATCCTTCCTATCTGCCCTGCCATTCCCAGAATGGAATGGTGTGCTCTCCAGCACACCCTACGCTGCTGCAAACATCACTCCCCTGGTTCACAGCTCCCCTATCTGATAACCAGAAGGACAAGGAAAGGTTTGCAAGCCTCCAGCAAGAGAAGGTAAGTCTCTCTCCAAGGCTGCAAGTCATCCTAAGATGGGGGTGAAGAAAGGAGAGAAGAGGTACAGGACTTTCCCTTAGAGAACACGGTAGCTCAGAGAACTGACAAGCAGCAGAGAAGCTTCTGGCTGACCTTGTCTGTGAACCCCAGAGATTTTACCCAGCTCATTACTACAACCATTCATGCTCTCCAGAGTTGACAAAAGACACAAATGAGTTCCCATACAACTCAAGGAAACCCTGCAATACTCAGAGAAACTTCACAGTAGGAATGTAAGTGATAAAGATCTGCATTTACTTATTTGGAAAGTAAACAGGTCATAAAAGGAGCAGAAAGTCTCCACAAAGCTGGCAGCTGGCTAGTTAAGATTTTTGTTACAGGAACATGTATCCAAATTCATGAAGCAGCTACAAAGAAAATATTCAAGGAACTGTTAGCTTTCTGCACAAAAATCCTTAGCACTTTAATTGGCTACTACAGCACTATAATCAAAACAAGCTAATTTTAGACACAAACCTACTCCCTATGCACACCACCATGCCATTATTACTTCCTTTAATGATCAATGGAAGCAGAGCAGTCCAGTTCAAAGCATTTACTTATTCCAAGTCCATTTGAGATTTCGGCAACCATTTTAAACTGACACTTGTAGCAGGGTATTTCCAATAGGGTCAAAAAAGCATTTTTGCATCCAAACTGTACATGTCCCATAGAGTAGCACTGCAGTGTCCTGACAAGCTCCCTCAGAGATCCCCACCAGGGCAGTAAGGAAAGTACAGTCATACCTGCCCTTGATATCACCCTAGAGAAAACAGCAGGAAGGTAAGATGATACCAAGCCTGACATACCCTTGCACCTACCAAATCAGAAACAGACATTTTTAGGAGTTTCTGTAAGGCTATAAAACCACTGCCAAAGCCTAGACACTGGCTACTTGGCAAGGGCATAAGTGAGGAATCTGTCTAACAGTTTAACACGGTCAAGTATGCAGGGGCTTGAGCAAACATAGAACAGTACAGCTCACTGGTGTTATGGAAAAAGCAGCAAAACCTTAAGTCTGTTTCAAAACAAGAGTTAAAAGGTAGTAGGCAGA